TTTTAATTGTAAATTAGTTTATTTAAAAAAAAAATTTAATTGCATTCAATTATTTAGTAGAGTATTACCGTAATTATTAATTTATATATTATAGTATAATAAGTATATGATTAACACAAACAAACAAAAAATAGTATAAAAATAAAGTTTTTTTATTTGTAAAAAATTTGTTTTTTTATATATAAAATAATATTTATTAAGTATATAATAATAATAATATTAAAATGAGTAATTAGTTTAATTTAAAACTATTTTTTTAAAAAATTATCAGTAATAATGTTAACCATAACTAAATAGTAGATTCGGATGTGAATATGGATATTGAATATTAATAAACAAATGTTTAATTTTAGTACCAATTAGTAAATGTTGTCTAATATAGGATTCACTTATTGTCAGTTTGTTTTCATGACACCGGAGATCAACATACATCAGATGAGCCAACTGTCCCATAGCTTGGATCGACTTTTCAGTGATGGACACACCGTCACAGTGTATATACTGTAGTCGCGGAAAATTGTAGTGAATATCACTAAAAAACTCGTCACCGATTATATATGAATAATCTAACCGCCGAAGTGTCAAATGTGTCAATCGGTTTAACAAACTGGCGGTCAATACTACTAACATTTTATCTGATTTATTCGGCAGACATTCAAGTGATAGTCGTCTTAATTGTTGAAACATATGTTTGTTGATTGACTCAAAAATAGGGCTAACTTTTGACGAATATTTTCTGACAATTAAATCTAAGACTTTCAATCGGCAACAGTTTTGGCCAATTGCTGCCAACAAATCATCGGTTAGTTTGGCGTTCAAAACAATTTTCAATTGTCTTAATTGTTTCATTTGAGATAAACCGGTAGACAATAACTTCTGTGCATTGCTGTCATCGCCAAACCGACTGACCGTTAGATTCAATGATGTTATTTGTTGGCCATAAATGTCGGCAAACATAGCAAACAGTGGCATTGAATTGTTGTTTAATATTAATTTTATTGATTGCAACGATTTCGGTAAAACATAACAATTATCGGCAGTAAATATATCCGACAATTGGATATTTAAATTGTTTTTATCAGTGAAGTCCACTGACTTCAGATTAGGCATACAATCAATGAGTTTGTAAAACAATGGTCTCTTGAGATGACTGTCAAAGTTGTTTAACTTAAATGTATGCAACTGTTGATCAAATCGGTGACAAAACTGTTTGATTATGCGGTCAGTGGTAAACAATTGATAGCTATTAATAGGCTTAATATATAAGTGTCTTAAACGGCAACAGTATTTAATCAATAATTCAAAATAAATGTTTGAAAAATAGACATCACTTATAGTAACTGTTGTAATGTTTGGACAATTCTTGACAATTGATTCAAACAATTTATATGTTTGTCTGTAATATAGAAATAATTTCTGCAATAGTTTGTCATCAAATATCAGTTGTGTTTGTGTATTGAATATCAATGCCAACCACTGTTTGGACACCGATTGTAGTCTTAGTCTATCTTCAAGTGGCAGATATTGAAGCAATAGTTCAGTCAAATCATCGCCGAAACGATCAAACGAGTCCTTCTTCTTCTTCTTCGTTGTTGTCTTCAGTGTTGAAGAAAACTCGTCAATCATTTCATTGAAATCTATTGATAACAACAAACAAAACAAGAAAAATAAATCAATTAATAATTAATTATTTATCAAACATTGCATTCAAAATGACAACACGTGTGTTGTTGTTGTTGTCAATCATTGATTGCAGTCATTATAATCACTATAATTAATGATATTTTTTGTTGACATTACCATTCATTTTGATTGCTTGTGTTGTTTTTCGGTGACTATTTTGTTGTCAAAACAAAACAAATAAATTACTATTCAATTCACACTTTATTTAAAATCATTGACTGATTGAACACTGATTTTTCATAATAACTGTAATAATAATTTAATTAATTAATTAATTACATAAATAATAAACTAATCAAACATTTGTTTAATACACTAAATGTTTAATTCAATCAATGAAATCAAAACATTAAACAATAAACTAATAAAACAATACATTCATTGCATAAGTGTTTAATATTATATGTAATATATATAAACACATAATAACGTCACTTAAATGTATATAGAAATAGAAATATAGTATTGAATGTGTTATTACAATATATGTTGCAGTCAAAAGGGGGGTTTCACTTGTGTTTGACGTACTTTATGTCTACTAATACTATAACCAGTAATATTGTTGTTGTTGTTTCAAAAACATCAAAACAAAACAAAAAGTTGATTTAAAATTTAAAAAAAAGTTTTATTTATTTAAAAATTAATTTTATTAAAAAAACAAAATTTTATTGAAAATCATTGGATTAAATGTGTTAAATAAGTGAGAGATTGTAAGTAAAAATAAAGGGATATTTTTTTTAAAAAATAAATAAATATTTGAAAAGTTTTGATAACAAAAAAAAAAGTTTACAACAAATTTTCAAAATTCAACAATTAATTAATTGTTTGAAACATGCGATCAAAATGAATGATAAAGTAATGTTAAAACTTATGTTTTTGAAAACAAATCATTTGAAAAAAAATTAATCACTAATTATATTAGCGATTATTATGACTGCAATCAGTGATTGACAACAATTTTTTTTGGGATAACAATAACACTATCGATGTTTATCATTGAATACAGTGTTTTTGATTGTTAACTAAAAATTAAAGTTTATTTTTATTTATTAAAATTTTAATGTTTTTGATTTTTTTTAATATTAGGTTGTATTACACTCAAAGTAATCACATTTTTTAGTAATATAACTTTTTATTATTATAATAAAAAATGTTTAACCAATTTTGACACTGAAAACTAACAGATTGTTTACATTTTTTGCAATTAAAATGTTAATCAATTATTGATTATAGCAAATAAAAAATATTTTTTTAAAAATTTAATTAACAAACAAAAAACGGTTCAATTTTTTTACAAACTTAGCTCTAATATTGTAACTTAAAATATATTATTATTATTTTGGTAATCAGTATCAATAATTTTATTACAAATTATTTTTTTTAATTGTATAAACATTTGCAATAAACATCAAAAAAATAAATAAAAATATACAAATATTTTATGATTATTTTATGATTATTTTATGATTATTTTTTGTTGTTGTTTTAAATCAATCATTTTGTTCACTACTATCACTACCAGTATAACTATCACTATCAGTATCACTATTACTATCACTATAATCATCAAAATTATTACTATTAATTACCGGTAAATATTTTCCGTATTTAAATTTTTGTACACCCATTGAATCCCAGTATTCAATATACAAATGTTTAACTTTAGTACTACTAAGTAAATGTCTTGAAATAAATTCATCAGTTATTGTCTGTTTGATATAATCGCTGCTTAAACAGACATCCCTGAGGTGTGCCAACTGTCCCATAGCTTGGATCGACTCATCAGTAATGGACGAACAACTGTTGCAATGTATAGACTGTAGACGCGGAAGATTGCGGTGAATGTCACGGAAAAACTGATCACCAATTATACGACAGTCACGTAATTTAAGTGTCAAATGTGTTAATCTGTTTAATCTGTTAAATGAATCGCTGGTCAGTAGTACTAAATCTGGATCTAAATCTTCGCCAAAAACTAGAAAACATTCAACAGATAATCGCCTCAATTGTTTGCGAGACATATGTTTGTTGATTACGGCAAACACCCGATTAATCGTTGATTTACTTGACATGAAAACAAAATCAAATACATTAAGTCGGCGACAATTCTGGCCAATTGTTGTCATCAATTCACCAATTAATTTATTTTCATCAAAATTATTGTTAAAATTGATCTTCAATTGTATTAATTGTTTCATTTGTTCAAAACAGCTAATCACTGATTTGCGATCATTATCTTTGTCGTAACAGCATTCAAATAATATGTTCAATGATTTCAATTGTTGGCCATAAATGTCGGCAAACTTAGGAAACAATAGCATTGAACTGCTATTCAATCTTATTGTTATTGATTGCAATGATTTCGGTAAAACATATGACTTATTGTCGTCGTCAGTGAATATATCAGACAATTGGACATTAAGATCGTATCTATTAGTAATGTCCAGTGTCTTCAAGTTAGTCATACAAGCGATTGCTTTATTGATTTCTTCAATATAGATATATCTGTCATAACTGTCAAACTTGAATGTCAGCAACTGTTGGCCGAAGTGTTTAGAAAATCGGTTAAATTGTTTACCATTACTTGACTGTTGATAATCATTGCAAGACTTAAGATATATGTGTCTCAATCGGTGACTGTATTTCATTAATAATTCAAAGTATAAATCATGTAAATACATATCACTTATAGTTATTGATGCAATGTTTGGACACTTTTTCAACAACAATTCAAACACTTTCAATGAGTCGACACTCGGATAGTCATCACAGCTGTTATCGTGCAATGAATTCATAGACAATCTCTTCAGAAGTTTCTTATCAAATACCAGATCCGATGTTGCAGTGAATATCAATGAAAACGTTTGCCTAAACTGTTTGGACACCGATTGCAATCTTAAGCTGATATCTATCGGCAAATATTGAAGCAATAGTTGAGACAAATCATCGCCGAAACGATAAAACGAGTCATTCTTCGGTGTTGTCATTACTGTTGCTGTTGTTGTGGTCGTCGCTGTCATTGTCTTCCAAGTAATCTTGACTTCGGTTTTTCGTCAATCAATTGTAAATTAAATCTATTGATAACAACAACAAAAAAATCAATAAATTAATTACTAATTTTCAGTTAACAATCAAACACTGTATTCAAATCACAACAAACACTACAAATACTTACATTTGATTTTTGTTGCAATCAATTGTTATAATAATAATAATTGTATTCAACAAACAAACAATATATGCAATCAATAGCTGTCATCACTGTTGTTGTCGTTGTTGTCTTCAGTAAACTTGTCAATCAATTCAATTAAATCTATAAATAATACAAAAAATAAAATAAAACAAAATATAATTAAATTAAGTTAACAATCAAACACTTATTATCATATACCGTAAAATCTATTGTATTAGTCGCGACTTATACAACAAAAAAAGTGATCTAGATTAAAAATATAGACCTGCGACTTATACATGAGGTGCGACTTATATATAAAAAAAATTCAAAAAATTAAAAATTAATTTCTATTTATTTAATCAAATTTTTATGACTAAAATCCTTCAAAATCAGAATCAGAGTCAGTATTGAATGCATTCAAAAAATCCAATTCATTTAAAACTGTACACAAACTGTGACACAGATAACTTTGGTCTAAGACCCAGGTCTTGATTTCTCTCTCGATTTCGGGCCAAAAACACTGTTTTCCTCTTCGGTTTCTTTTGTTTGGATTCATTGCCATAAGTATTGGTTTAATTTTACGCCAATCTCTGACTAATTTCTCATTTATACCAAAATGTCTTTCAGCCCCTCTATTCCCGTCATCGTTCGTCTCCGCAAAAGCAATCACTTCCAACTTCTTCGCTGTTGTGTAAGAATTTCTTACCATTTTGTTTAATGATATCAAAAAATAATTCATACAATTCAACACATTTTTTATGCATACAAACAATTGACTACATATGACATGAATTACAGTTTATTAAAAATTTGTGCGACTTATACATGAGGTGCGACTTATACAACAAAATTATTTTTTTTATCAATAAATGACCTGCGACCTATACACCAGATCGACTTATAATTAAGATTTTACGGTAATAAAAAACACGCGTCTAATCATAAATCGCGTGCTATTGTGTTATCACAACACACGTGTGCTGTTGTTGTTGTTGTCATCACTTGTGTTGCAGTCATAATAATCGCTGTAATAATCAGTGATTATTTTTCAAATGATTTATTCAACAAAAAAAATAATAATAATAATAAATTAAATAAATAAATAAATTTATAATTACTTTACAATTCATTTTGATCGCTAATTTTCATTAAAAAAAAATTTATTTTTGTTGATTCAAACTTTTCAATCAATCAATCAGTCAATCAATTCATTAACCATTTAAATCACTCACTGATTGATTGAAATTTTTATTGATTTATATTTTTAATTAATAATTAGTTTTTAAATAAAACTAATAACACATTTGTTTTACAACTATTTTGTTTGTTATGTAAACAAACAATATATTCATTGCATATAAGTATTGATGTAATAATACACTGTAAATACATATAAACACAAATAACGTCACTTAAAAAATGTATGAATGAATACATTGAAGTATTATTGAAAATGCATTGAATGTGTTATTGATTTAAATACTATTTTGCTTTTGTTGTTGTATTCAAACGGGTGTTTCACTTGTGTGTTGACGTACACTATGGCTGTGCTATGGCTATACAATAGACAGTAATATTGCGATTATTTGACAGTAAAACACAAAATTTAAAAAAAATTGTTTTTGAAATGTTTTGATTATTTTTACTATAATACTCATACAGTGTATGATTATGTTACCGGTTAGGCAATACCTCCCTAACCCCCTCCACCCCACCCCTGTATAAACTAGTTATTAAATGTTTATAAAAATATATATTTTTTTATGCTTTATTTTTTTTACTATTGATATCTTTGGTATTGTTTTTTTTGAAACATTTTTAAAAAAAAACTTTTGTTTATTATTTTTTTTTTTAAAAAACAATTAGTTTTGGATCCACTAAAAAAAAACCTCCAGAAAACCAACTAATAAACGGATTCATTAAAATAATTTAATAAAATTTATTTTTAATAATTAATAATAATATAAAATTTTATAAAATTATTTTAAAATTATTTTAGTACTTATTTTTCTTTATTTTTTTTTTTTGAATAAATGAAAATAAAATATTTATATTAAACTGAACTTTAATAATTAAATAGAAAATATTATTATTATATATAGTTAAATAAATATAATTGAAAATAATATAAAATGATGATAAGATAAAATAAATTTAATAGTTTTAAATTAAGTCATTATATTATTATTACTATATAAAATTTTTATAAAAATAATTTATTTTTTATCTATTAATAGACACACAAAATATTATTATAAATTTATTATTAAATTAGTTATTATTAAAGTAATATAAAATAAATTATGCATAATTTAATGTTAAAATTAATACATATTATTTTTAGCAACAAAACATAATTATCTATAATTTAAATTATTATTTCCGTATTTTATATATTTTTAAGTGTTTAATAATATTGTTATTATTGTTAGTATTGTTAGTATTGTTAGTATTGTTAGTATTATTAGTTATATATATTTTTGTTTATTTAAAATTTTATATTATATATAAATTACACATAAATTTTATATATTTTTAAAAAATTTCTCTTTCACTCTAAAAAATTTCTTTTATTTAACACAATAGATGTTAAACTAAATGTTAAAACTTATTTTTTTTTAAATTTATTAAACATATTGGATAAGTAAGTAAAACATATATATAAACTATTAGGAAAAAAATATAGTTTATAATAATAATAATATTAATTTAATATTAGATATAATAATAATCCGAAACATTTAGTAAAACCCACAAAAAAATGTCTCAATTTTCGTCTAAACGGTTATTACCACCGAATATGGTATACAAGTGGTCGGCCTATCATTTATACCGAATCGGCTTAAGTAACCATCGATTAGTCGTTGACTCCGATGATTGTTGGCCTCAGAGACTATGGTTTAATCGACCGATAATTATAATAACTGTTTCAATAGTTTTTATTATTGAACGCACTGTATGTTTGTTAAGCGATAGAAACAATTTACTATTGTTTGCACTGATTGGCGATTGGGGTTATCTATTAGGTGTCGGACTGCTATCCGATATCTTTATGTTATTGAATACATTGTTTATATTAATATCACAACTAATATATTTATATAACTATCTGATGGGTATTGAACCGAAATTTTTGCGTGTATTTGAAATGATGTCCGGCTATCGATGGACACCCATAAGTTTGGGTCTAACCGACCCCTTGGAGATCCGTAAGCTTATCAATCGTATGCAATGGCTATCCAGGTGCTGTCAACTAAACAGTACATATATAATACCATCGATGGGTAGTCTATTATTTCTGGTATCCTATATATTATGTAGTATTAATAGTTTGAAAACAAACTTGAATATCAATTATTATTATATCTATTATAATATACCCAATAATCTATTGCAATTATTATGGGCCTATTATTATTGGAATTGTATATTATATCAATTGGTATACTATTATATACTGTGCCGGTATTTAAAGCACCGGCAGTTTGAATTCAATAGACAACTATTATTGACAATTAATAATAATAATAATAATAATTTAAATAGTACTAAACGTATTCAACGTTTTATCAAATCTATAGACAAATTGTTTGCCGATATCATCGACTATAACGAAACTTATTGGTCAAAATTTTTGCTAACAATTTGGCTAATATTTGGTACATCTATTGTTTTATTTCTATATATAGCCATATTTATATCGATGTCAATGATATCAAAATTAATTATATTATACATATTGTTAACTAGTTTTCTAGTATTTTATTTAGTCTTAATGTCATCGGCATCGTTGACCAATTCTATAGATAAATGTTATAAATTATCAAACATTTATTATACAAATTTAGTTTTAGATTTTTAGATTAGATTAAATTTATTAGTTAAATTATTATTTATTATTAATAATAATAATAATTTATTAAGTTTATATTTTCAAAATAAATTGTTATTTATATAAATAGATATTCTATTTTTGAAACTAAAAATATAAATAAATATAATTTAATATTTTAATATTGAAATTAAAATTTTATTGTTGTTTAATAATACTAATATCTGTATAGTATAGAAACAAATAGACAATTATCGTTATAATTAAATTTATAAACAATTATATTTATTAATTATTATTATTATTCTTAGAAAATAAAACATTAATTATTTTTTATGCCAGTAAATAAATATCATTAAACAATGTTATATATATAAATATTAACTACAGTAATAGATAATTAGTATAATATATATGTATAAACATATATAATAATAATAATAGTTATATATATATATATATATATTGGACTAAATAATATGCTTAAAAACTAATTAATTTTTCCAAGTGTTGTATTAATAATATAAAATAATGATAATAATAATATCCCAAAATCTCGATCTTAGGGGGGTATTTTGGCCTTACCCCACCCCTACCCCCTACTAACCCTGTTTTTATATTAGTCTTGTATTTAATTTTATTTGAAAGTTAATTACAATAACTATTTGAAAATATAATATTATTATAAGTTGAAGATTACTAAAGACATAATGACAGCGACGACGACAACAACACAACCAGTGATGACAACAGCAATGAATGACTCGTTTGATCGCTTCGGCGATGATTTGGCGGAACTATTGCTTCAATATCTGCCAATCGATGACAAACTAAGTCTGGAATCGGTGTCCAAACAGTGGCTGACATTGATATTCAATACACAAACAAAGATCTTGTATTTGATGACAAAATATATTGTCTTTTGAACAGAACTTTAATAAAAAAAATACTAATAATTTTGAATTAATTATTATTAAGTGTTCAAATATTTACTATAATTAAAATAAAAATTAATTAAATAAGTTTAAATTAATTTTTTTGTTGTCATTTATTTATTGAATTTTATGATGTTAATAAATAAATTTTTAAAAAAAATTATAATTGTCACCAAAAAAAAAAAGAAATTGTTGTATTATAAATAATATGTTATTATTTAAAAAAAATAATGATATAAAAGACAAAAGCTATCAAAAATATTATTATTTTTATGTTTTAATTATTATAATAATTTAAACTCTTTGATGCCATCAAACAGATCCATATATTTAATAAACAAGTGTTTGATTTTCGACCGATCAGTGGATGAAAGCAAATGATATTCAATGATCGGTTGGGTTGTAGTCAAGGTTTTGGTGTCGCCATCGATATAGACATCAGTCAATTGCGATAACTTTACCAATGAAATGAGCGACGCATTAGTTATGGACGCCTGGCCTCTGATGGCCAGCGACTGTAGTCGCGGTAGATTCTGGTGAATATTAACGAAAAAGTGGTCACCAATTATTCCCGATTTATTCACTCGTATAGACAAATGTATTAAGCGATTCATACGATTAAGCCGATCGCTGGCCAACTGATAGCTACTACTGTTAGCTGTTATACCATAATAATTACTATTAAGCGATAGTTGTCTTAATTGCGATAGATTTTCGTTGATTGTGTCAAATAGTTGGCCGATTAGACTAATATCGGTGCGATTTAATAGCAAATTCAATGATAAAAGTTGTCGACAATTGCGTCCAATTCGTGACAAAAAAGTTGCGATCAAATCATAGTCAGCAATGTAAACGAAATTCAGCGACAATTGTCTTAATTGTGGCATTTTTTGCGACAACGATGACAAACCGCCGATCACTGACCAGTGATAGTCGGTATTTGATAGAATTGTAGTCGTCGTCACCGATATGTCCAGTGATCGCATCTGTTTTCCGTAAGTGCCGGCAAATAGAGAGAACATCGCCAGCGACTGTTCGTCGGCCAGTTTGATGTCAAACGATTGCCAACCGTTCGGTAAGCGATAGCCCTTGAAGTGACTATCGGTAAACAAGTCGTTCAAACTAATAGTTCCAGTGATGTCTACTGTCTTCAAATTAGTCAATCGTTGGTCGCATACTTTGTACAGTAGTTGTCGATTGAATTGTTGAACATTGCCGGCAAACTTAAATGTCTGTAACTGTTTGGCAAATCGGTCGATAAACTGATCAAATATCGGCTCTAAGATCGTCCAGTCGTCAGTATGGTATCGACTGAGTGATATGTGTATCAATTGGTCGCAGTGTCTATTGATTAGATCCAGTAAACCATCCAACAAATAGACATCACTAACGATAACTGTTGTAATATTTGGACACTTTTTAACTATTGTTTCAAACAGTTTCAACTTTTCCTTCTCTGATAATAATTTCTGTTTGAATAGTCTTCCATCAAATACCAGATGTATTTGTCCGTTGAATATCAATGACTGCCACCGTTTGGACACCGATTCCAGTCTTAGTTTGTCATCGATTGGCAGATATTGAAGCAATACTTCAGTTAAATTAGCGCCGAAGCGATCAAACGAGTCATTCATAGCTGTTGTCATCACTGGTGTTGTTGTTGTTGTTGTCTTCAGTGTTGAAAACTCGTTGAAATCAATTCAATCAAAATCTATTGATAACCACAAAAAAAAATAAAATGAAAAAAAACATAAAAAATAAATCAATTAATAATTGAGTTAACAATCAAACACTGCATTCATTCAATTAAATGACAAACACTTGAATCTCATGTTATTGTTATCACAACACATGTGTTGTTGGGTTCTTGTAGCGTTTACCGGTCCTGGGAATCCCGTATAGTGATGGTAGCCCAGACCTCCCTGAGTACCCCCATAGCACTCTAATACCTGTCCGACCTCCGCAATTTGAGATATTCGACTTTAAAGTCGAATTTTTTAATGGACGTTATTTATGTATATGAGACATTATTTCAATGTACTTTTTAATGCTAATAATATATCTGAAAACAAAATTTCAATACGATTTCTAGTATTCGATATATTCGACTAAATCGAAAGTCGAAATTTTTAAATTACGTTATTTATACATATGATATATGATTTCAATGTATTTTTTAATAATAATTATCATAATAAAATCACCATTTCTGTAAGTTATATAGAATTCGAGATAATCGGCTATAAAGTCGAATTTTTTGTATATTGCATTTAAGATAAATTTATTATTTGTACTGCATATTACAGTATTTATTTTAATAATGATTAAATATGATTTATTAAATATATAAATTTATTATTGTTAATTGTGTGTAAAATTAATTTACAATTTGATGTTTGGCAATGCTAGACTTGAATGATATGTTTGTTAAATAATGCTATTATTTTATATTACTATTAACAAATAATATTTTTATCACGATCTCCTAAAAGAAGTACGTATGGAAATGCTTTCTAGCATTCTCAACTGGTTATACTGAAAATAATTTTGATTTTCGATTTATAGTCGAATATCTCGAATACTAAAAATCGTATTGAAATTTTGTTTTCAGATATATCATTAGCATTAAAAAGTACATTGAAATAATGTCTCATATACATAAATAACGTCCATTAAAAAATTCGACTTTAAAGTCGAATATCTCAAATTGCGGAGGTCGGACAGGTATGAGAGTGCTATGGGGGTACTCAGGGAGGTCTGGGCTACCATCACTATACGGGATTCCCAGGACCGGTAAACGCTACAAGAACCTTACAAAAAAACAAAAACTGTTTATAAATGCAATCAATTAATAAAACTAATAAAAATTAGTTTCAAATTTGAAATTAGTTTCAAATTTGAAATTAGTTTCAAATTTGAAATTAGTTTCAAATTTGAAATTAGTTTCAAATTTGAAATTAGTTTCAAAAAACTTATAACACATTTGTTTACATAAATAAAATAAAACAAACAATACATTCATTGAATAAGTATTGATGTAATACATTGTAAAATATATGAACACTAATAACGTCACCTAAATATGTATGAATAGTATTGAAAGTGCATTGAATGTGTTATTGATTTAAATACTGTTTTGTTTTTGTTGTTGTATTCAAACGGGTGTTTCACTTGTGTTTGACGTACACTATGGCTGCTATGGCTATACAATAGACAACTGTATTGTTGTTATTGTTTGACATCAAAACAAAACAATTGATTTGTTTTTTGGAGTTTTTATATTTAATTTTGTTATAATTATTGCAATTAATTATTTTTTTAAATGTGTTCAATAAGTGATAGATTAAGTGAATTGAAGAGTAATTTCAATAAATTAAATCAATTGAAAAGTTTAACAAAAAGTTTACAACAAATTAGTGAACAATTATTGTGTGAAACAAGCGATCAAATGAATGGCAAACTAATTACAAATACTTATGTTTTGAACAAATCATTAAAAATCAATTATTGTAGCGATTATTATGACTGTAATAGTGATGACAACACACGTGTGAAAAATAATAAAATGCAATTCACGTGCTTTTGGCCTAAATGTCGGTTCAATACTAACTTTAAATATCATTTACTTAGTCATCAATTGAGTCATTCAATTAACAGACAATTTAAATGTGATTTTAATGATTGCAATAAACAATTTTTCAATATTAATAGTTTACAACATCATAAAAATGTTAAACATTTAAATATAAGTTTTATTTGTAATGTTAATGATTGCGACAAAACATTTACAACAAAACAAAGTTTAATTTTACATAAATCTAGTATTCATTATAATAAGCGATCATTTGTTTGTGATTATAGTAATTGTCAGAAAGTTTTTTATAGAAAACAAGAGTTAAACAAACATCAAATGGCAGTACATTTAAAATACAAACAATTTAAATGTAATGTCGATTATTGTGAAAAAACATTTTCATACAAATCTAATTTAAATACACATAAATTAATACATTTGTATAAAAAACGATTTAATTGTTCAGTTAACGAGTGTTTGAAAACATTTACAACAAATCATTGTTTACGACAACACATATCCAGAGATCATTCAATTGAACCCCAATTTAAATGTGATTACAACGACTGTAGTAAATATTTTTATTCAATAAAACATTTGAATCAACACAAACGTAGATTTCATTTAAAAATAATGAAATTCATGTGTGATGTCGACGGCTGTAACAAACAGTTTACCAATAAATGTTATCTATTAAGACATACTAATAGTCATAATGGTATCAAATTATTTAAATGCAATGTCAATGAATGCAATAAAAGTTTTACAACAATTACAACACTTAATTTTCACAAACATAGGATTCATTGATTGATTAATTAAAAATTAATAAAAGTATTTAATCAAAAAAAAATTATTTTATGAAAATAAATAACAAATGTTATTATTATTATTATTATTTTACATCTCATTTAATTTCATATAATTTACAACATTTAGGAAAAAAGCGATTTTTTATGTTCAGTAAACTAGTGTTTGAAATGTTTTATAACAAAGCATTGTTTACGACAACACAATATATATATATATATATATTTAGTATATATATATCATGTACTTAATAATTATTTTAATTAAAAAATAACAAATTTTTACAAATAAGAAAATTTATTTTAATACTAGTTTTTGTTTTTTTAATCATTTATTTATTATATAAAATTTTTTTTTAGTAAATCAATATATCATATATACTGTATATATATATATAACTTTTTTGAAAAATGTCACTGATGAAAAAACTATAGATAACTATAGATCATACAAAATAATTTATTATAGATTTTTTTTATTTATTATTATTAATAAATTATAATTATGATTTTAAAATGTATTTTAGTATAGCATTAGATGTCATTTTAAATTTTTTAAAAACGACATTAATATTATATAAATAAAAATTTTAGTTAAAAAAAAGTTTATATTTCTTATTATTATTAATGATTTTTTAATTAATATTTTTTTTGTTTAAATCGTGTTCAAAGTGGAGTTTTTACTTTATTTTTAATTAAGTATTACTTAAATTACAGTCCATATAATTAAAAGTGTATATTAATTTTCATAATAATTAAAAATAGAAATTGTATTTATATTTATTTATTTTAAATAGCAAAAAAATTAATTAAATAACGATGAATTATTATTCAAACTAAAAAAAAGTAAAAAATAATAAATTGTTTTTTTTAAATTGTGTTTTATATTATTAGTTTTAAGACAACAACATATAACAATTGTAATAATTTTCATTACAAAAAACTAAATACAATTATTATCATTAATTGTATTGATGTTAATACAACATCGGGTACTGTTAGATGACAAACAATATACTTTAAAAAATATACTCTATCCGACACCTGTGCATCAATTTTTTTAAGCATGTTACAATCAGGGTTTTATAAGTGGCAGCCATAAACAATAGATGTCAATTTTGCCCTGGGCATCTATTTTCAGGTGGTGACACCTATTACTATGATTTTATATTATTTATTTATTTGCAAACATTGTTTTTTTTATCTATATATTTGTTTTGAATACCTTTAATTGAAAGGTAATATTATTGGAAATATTAGTATATTAATTGTAAATTTAATTACACGCTAAAAAAAGTAAATTACATTTTTTTTAAAAATACAATTCCTTTTTAGCAATTTAATGTTGCATGCAAATTAAAAATAGATACCAAAAAGAGCCAGGCATTTATGGTATCTATTTGGGCATTGCCATGGCAGGCATTTATTAACTTAAAACCCTGGTTACAATATATAAATTTTTATAAGCGAAAATTCTTAAATTAAGTTAAACTAGTAAGAAAAACTTTTATTTAAATATTTTTAGTTCTAGTCTAATATATATATATATTTTTTTTAATTTAATTTAATTTTAGAGGTTAAAAAACAGGTTCGATGCTAAAAGTCTAGACAAGTGTAATGTAATAATACTAGACTTTCATCGGTCTTCTCCAGTGATGATCGTGTAATTATATATAAATATATTCAATAAAATAAAAATCTATAGACAAATATTACTTAATTATATTTTTATTAATGTATTAATACATTAATTGTGAAAAACTTTTAAAAAATATAACAAATTATTATTATTAATTACTTATACATAAATTGAATTAGTATTTTTTCAAAAATTCAGATGACATTATAAATTAATGGGATTTAATTATTGATATATTATAATATATAATCAGTACTATTAACAACAATACAACCAATTAGAAAACAATAATATAAATGTCGTATTAGTACAATATATTTAATTGAATTTTTTTCAAATAATTCGTTAATTTCTAAGTATACTTATAATATTTTAAATAATTTGTTTTGTATTAATATTTTTAAACAAATCGAGAATGAGTGATGATTCGTATGAATTATATACATTAAAATTCAGTGAAAATACATTAATATTGATATACTTATATCCATAAATAATTTTAACATGTTAAATGTTGATAAAATAAAATCACACAATTGTTATCTATTAGATAGTTATACTTATAGTATGCATTATGATAAATACTGTATTAATATTTTTAACTAAACATCAAATACGAGTGTTAATGTTTGAAAAAAATAGTGAAATTAAATTTATTGTATATATAATTAATTATAAACTATTATTAATTTAAGTTTAACTTTATATAAAAGACATGAAAATTTATTACCTGGAATTAAATATAACACCATAGATATCAAAACAAAAAATTCAAATATTTTTCATGTAGATTATAGTAAAAAATTTTGTTATCTATGACATTGAATTATATAATAGCTTATGTTATAATGGGAACAAAAATGACATCAATGTATATATGATTGTATTATAAATTCAATAAATTTATCAATAGAAACATCTAGTTATAAAATATTTGGCAAAAAATATTCTGCATTAACTAAATATCCAGATAATTGTGCCTATAGTTGTAAATAAAAGCAACAATGTATATTTGAATCCTACTATTTTAAAAAAACAAATAAGGATTTAGACTATAATAATCTGGAAGACAATTAGACACAACCAACAAATTAACGCCAACACCGGTACACTGTCATAGACTAGTCAAAACATTATTAAATAAAATATCAAACGGCTATTAATGTTTATAAAAATTTTACAACAACAACAAAAATATAAAGGATTTATTTAAATATTTTATTTATCCAATGGTAGTGGTTTGGGGGGAGGGGGTAGCGGTTAGGGACATGCGAACGTAATTTTTTAAAATAAATGACTACATGCTAATAATTGTGAACATAGGGAAGGGGAGGGGTCTAGATTTTTTTTAAAAAAACTAGTTCCAACGTAATATGTGAATCTCCACTTATATATACTATACAATGTAAAGACAGGCAAACTAGGAAAGTTAAGCTTAAATTATTTAGTCCATATAAACAGTATTGTACTAAATTTTATGTATACAAAATTTGAATTTTATAAAAACTACAATACAAGTTATTATTAAATAAAGAAAACACAAAAATCAATTGAAAAGTTTAACAAAAAGTTTACAACAAATTAGTGAACAATTATTGTGTGAAACAAGCGATCAAATGAATGGCAAACTAATTACAAATACTTATGTTTTGAACAAATCTATGAAAATCATTGATTATAACGATTATTATGACTGCAATAGTGATTACAACACAAGTTTGGATAACAATAACATGCGATTTATGTGCCTTTGGCCCAAATGTCGGTTCAATACTAAAATTAAAAAGCATTTACTTAGACATCGATTGATTCATTCAATTGACAAACAATTTAAATGTGATTTTAATGATTGC